TTCAATAAGTAGAGAACTGTAAAGTTTGACCTTAGCCACTCCCCTCTACTGCCTTTCCACTGTGCTGTGTCCCTTTGTAGACTAATACTAGAGTACCTGGAAGTGCAAAAGAGGAATAGCCAAGCCTAGCTTGTAAAAAAAGAAAAGTAGCTAGAGCAGTCATTCAAAGGAGATGAGGCTTTATCCAAGCCTAGAATGTCAAACAAAAGTTGGACCAAGTGGGCTACAGGAAAAGCACGTTCTTTCCAGAGAGGGAAGTTTGTCAGGGGCATGGTGGAGTGAGAAACAGTAGGTCCCACGAGCTGAAAAATGGAGAAGGTAGATGACAAAGGGCCTCAACCTTCTTTTCCTCTATTAGGCCTAGCAAAATCCAGTTAAATGGTGAAACACAAGAGGGTGTCATTTCTTTTCCCAAGCAGCTGTTGTATTCCACTTCTATTCTAGTTCTTCCCTGGTTGGAATTAGGTTCACAGGGGTAAATTCTCTCCATACTCCTCTCCTATGGAATCTTTGCTCCTCGGAAAGATGTACAGCAAATGTCCCGAGAGCTGCAGCAGCCATCTCTTTTGCCTGTGCCCCTCCTAGCTGTGTAATCTAATTGTGGCTGGCTCCCCACGTGCTAGCTTTTGCCTCAAGCACCTAGCGTGGGTTTGCTTTCCATTCCTTCATTATCATGTCTCCTAGAAACTTTGTATCTCGGCACGTGCCCCTTTTTGAGCTTGCCCCTCCCATACGTCTATTGCTGCTGAACAAAAATTGGCTGACTGACCTCTCCAAAAGTATTTCCTTTGAAATTGAAAGGCTGTCCTGTTGTGTGATAGTTCACTCTTTTTGCTTTGGGGGGCCCTCCACCCAGCTCCCAAGTAAACCACACATGGATGCGTATTCTTCTTTTTTGTGGCTTGAGAGACAGCCGTGGGTGCTGGGAACTGAACTCACATTTTTGGTTGTGAGCCTAGCCTTTAACAGCTGAGCCATCTCTCCAGGCCATGGAAGCTTGTTCTTAATTATAAGTGCCCGACCTTAGCTTCACTTTTTTTTTCTAGCTTTTCTTAACTTAAATTAAGCTGTCTACCTTTTTTCTTTGGTTTTTTTTTTTTTCCTTTTCTTACTTCTGCACATCTTACTTTCGCTCCTACTCCATGGCTGGCTGGGTGGCTGCCCCTAGCATCCTTCTCTCCTTCTTCTCTGTTGCTCCTTTCTTTTCTCCTCCAGACTTCTGCTTATATTTATACTCTCTGCCTGCCAGCCCCATCTGTCCTGTCTACGCTTTGCTACTGGCCATTCAGCTTTGTATTAGGACCATCAGGTGTCTTAGACAGGCAAAGAATCACAACTTCACAGAGTTAAACAAATGCAGCAGAAACACAAGTCACACACCTTGAAATAATATTCCTCAACACTTTCCCACTGATATTAGAATTCTAAAACTCGGTTAATGTGTTTATCCATTTCCGTGATGATTTTGATATAGAATAAGCAATGCCACTAAAGTCAGCTGAGGATTCAACTGTTTCTGTAAGTCATGGGGTTTCTTGCCAGTATCTTTCTAAAATAGTCTTATCCATTATACATACCAGGCCCTCTTACCTTTTCTGGACACAGGGTCTCACTTTGTAGCCCTAAGTGTCATAGAACTTATGTAAACCAGGCTGGCCTCAAACACACAGAGATCATTCTGCTTCAGCCTTCCAACTTCTAGAATTAAAGGCACATGATACCATACCTAGCCAAGTCCTTTATTTTACTTGAGCATGCCATTCAATAAGCCAGCCTCTACTGGTGACCAGATCACACGATGACAATTTGTGTGCCCTGTTGAGGAGTTCTCGCTATCTACCATTGAGGAATAATGTTCCTCAATACCCTTCTTTGTCTCTTCTTGTACCACTTTATCCATAAGGTGGATTTTACATTCTCAAATGTATACTTTTATGGAATGTTAGTATGAGCCAATAGAATAAGTAGCAGTGAATTGTGTATCAATATTAACCATTGAAATTTTACTTTTTGCAGATACAGAAGTAGGTGAAGGAAGTTAACATAGTCCACTCAGGAGATGCAATTAACTCAGAGCCTACCAATGCCTTGTTTATGGCATTATTGTCTGTTGTGAAATCAACAGATACTGAATATTTTCTCTATTTGAGTATATTCAGTTTCCTACGATCTCTGATGCTTCAGGATGTAATTTCTATGCATCATAGTTGGTTTTTTTTCTTTTTTCTGAGCCCTAGATGCCTTAACTTATAGCATCTAACTGCTGTGCTAGATTTTTGCTCCATTACTGGTGTCCTGATGGTCCTAGCTTCTAATGTGTAAAAATCACTTGTGCTGTGTCCTCTTAGCAGAACTAGATTTCTGCCCCTCGTATCTTCTCTGTAATTTTAGTCTTCTGATGAACTGTGGGATCATATTGCTTAGTTCTGACTTCCAGTCTCCTGGAAATTCAGAAGAGGTGATAAGAATGGGGCTCAGTTGGCAGAGTGTGTGCCCAGTATGCATAAAACCCTAGGTTCTTTACCCCCAGCAACGCATAAGTCAGTACAGTGGTGCAGATCTGTAATCCCAGCATTTGCCATATTTTTTGCTTCTCGTGTCCTGGCCCTTGAACTATAGACTCCCTTCTTACTATTGATTCTCAAATGCCTCGTCATTTCATATTTATTTGCAGCAAACACAATGTAAGCTTTGAAATGGGGATAAATGTAAGCTTCTAGAAGTTTAGAACTAGAACAGAGTGGCACCTCCCAAAGATCGGGAAGAGAAGGAGGGAGGAGGGAGAGATAGGAAAGCTTGGTCAATGGGAACAATGTTGCACTAAAATAGAAGCAAAATGTCCTGGTGTCCTTGCTCTCAGTAGGGTGACTCTAGATAAAGCTAATGTGTATTCCAAAGTGGCTAGAAGAGTGGATTTTAATGTTTCACCGCAAAGGAATGACAGATGCCAGAGACAGTAAAGATGGTAATTAACCTGATGTGGTCACCACACAGAATCCACCTGGATCAAAACTTTATCTCACAAATTGTATAATTATTATATGTACATTACAGATTCACTAAGACAACTCAAAGAGATAAGATCTTTTTTTAAAAGGAAACAAATTCCTGGGTTTGAGGTATAGTTTAGTGCTAAAGCACTTACATGGCATGTGCAAGGCCTTGGTTCCATCTTCAGTAATGCAAAAAAAAAAAAAAAGTATGAGTGTAACTTTCCTTTTCCAATTTGGGACCGTCTCCCATAGACCATGCTGCCTCCAAATCCCTATGTAGTCATGGATAACATTGAACTCCTGATACTCCCGATACTTCTGACTCCGCCTTGCAAATGAAGAACAATACACTTTGATCAAACTGAAAAAAAGTGTATTCATTCTTAGATTCATGTTTCTTATGTTCTATAATTCTTTGTACTTGGGAAATGACTTATGTGCCCCCCATGAGCTAGCTGCACTGTATTGCTGTAGGCAGATTTCTGAATGCAAGACAGATGAAACCCCAGGTGCCAAAAGTATATCTGCAAAGTTCCACATTTGGGTATGGAGACTAAAACAGGAAGCAATAATTTGCAAAGCCATCTAATAGAGACTGATGTAATGGTTTGGCGAGGTCACAAAGACCTGCCCTTGAATTCTGGCTCAGGACTTGCTAGCTGAGTGTCCTTGAGCCAATCAATCTCTGAATGTAACATCATCAATAACAATAAAGATTTTTAATTCATTGGTTTCTTAATTATTAAAAAGTCGATATTTCCTCCACAGATTTTGAAATCCTCTAGTTCTCATATAAAAATCTTCTTTAGGGTTTGTCCTTAAGGTCTCCATCACCTGTTTTTCCCCTTTATTTGCAGTGCTACATCAGTTTATAGATTAGTAACTCATATTCTATTATAAAAGCTATTGCTTTTTATAGTAAAGTTTTATGAGTCATGATAATGTAGTCATAAAAATGTAAAGCATGCCAGAATGTGATGGCATATGCCTTTAATTCTAGCAATCAGGAGGCCGAGGCAGGCAAATCTCTTTGAGTTTGAGCCCAGTTTGTACAGGGAGTTCAAGTGAGCCAGAAGACCTTGTCAAGATTTTTAAAAAGAACATGCAAAAACTGTTTATATAGAGAGATCTTAATAATACATAGTGTATGTATTATTAAAATATATAACTTATTTTGAGATTCATCAAGCTCTTCCACTGAGCTTAGTACCATCCAAGCCCCATGAGAACCATAAAGTGGCAGTTTTTGTTTGGGGTAAAACTCAGTGGTAGAGATCATATTTAGCATATGTGGGACCCTACATTCCATCCCCAGGACCAAAACAAAGATAAAGGGGGAAGACAACTTGTCGTTATGTACTTACTCAATGAGTGAGAGAAAGCAAGTGCCAACTGAGATTTCAACATAGTGCAGTATAGCTCAATATAGCTTTTTTTAAAGTTTTTTATCATTTTTAATTACACATAATGATGTGTGTGCCCTTATGTCAGTGTAGGCATATGAGTGCAGGTGCCTACAGAAGCCAGAGACCGACTCCCTGGAGCTAGAGTTACAGGTTGTCATGGTGTGGTCCTAGGAACTGAATTGGGGTCCTCGAGAAAAGCAGCAAGTGCTCTTAACCATTGAGCCATCTTTCCAGCCCCCCTATCTCCAACTTTAAAGCTCCATATTCTTTAGTTCTGAATGTGCTGACCCCAAATAATTAGGAAAGCAGTCGATAACATGGTCTGAAGGTGGGAAAGGTGGCTAAGGGAGGAAGTGGCCTGTGAAATAAACTCTGAGCATTTTGAGGTTGCCAGTACACTGAGAGGGGAAAGATAATATCCCAGAAAGAAGAGCAAAGTATCCAAATGCAATGTCCTGGCTACACTGTCATGTTAACAAAGAGACTAATATGCGCGAGCATGCCGGTCACCTGCCCCAAAACTGAGTGTCCACATAGACGACCTCATGTTTCCTCTTGTGCTCGTATTCAGAGAACTACTCTGTTCTCGCATCTCTTCCAGGCTCTTTGAAACCCTTCAGTCACTCTTCTGGTCTGTATTTGGCCTTTTAAATCTCTACGTCACCAATGTGAAGGCCAGGCACGAGTTCACCGAGTTTGTGGGAGCTACTATGTTCGGAACATACAACGTGATCTCCCTGGTAGTGCTGCTGAACATGCTCATTGCCATGATGAATAACTCCTATCAGCTTATTGCCGTGAGTAATTGTTTTACCAAGGGGCTTCCTTGGGTTTCTGGAGAAGGCACAGTGCTGTGGTGCCCATTGCAAGCTCAATGAAACAGTCTGATCGCCTCAATGAATATCCATTAGTCAGTTATTCATCTGCCTTCTTTCCAGAACAATGCTGTTTGCAGTAGTCTAGATTAGGTTACTGAATTTGATGACTTTCTTGCTATCTGATGAAAATGTTTTAACATATTTAAGACAATTTTTTGTCTTGGTAAGGAAACCTCAGGGGATATATGCACAGTGGGCTACTCAATTTTGCACCTCACTTATATTCTGGATAAATCCAGTTGATCTGTTATTAACATTGCAAACATCCTCCCCAGATTTGGAGTTCGATTGCGAAGATGACCTTCTGGGAAGAATAGGGGCTATTTTGTTTTCGATACAATGTCTCATAATATTCAAAGTTGCATTAAACTCACTGCGTAGCTGAGAATGACCCTGAACTCCTCCATATCTCAGGTCCTGAAATTACAGAAGTGCACTATAATGATCAGTTAATAAGGGGGGCTATTTCTTGCTAAAGTAGAGATGAGTAACTGTACTCTACCATCAGATCAATCTTCTTAGATTCAGCTCATTGTTTTTAAGACAGGTCTCATTGTATAGACCAGGCTGGCCTCTAATTCCCAGCCCTCTTGTCTCAGCCTCTGGAGTACTGCTGTTGTAGGCATGCACCATGACATCTTGAATCTTGCATTGCTGATTTTTTAGTGCTATTGGGAGATAATGGAGTCTTTAGTAGGTGGGTCTTAATGGGAAGTTAGGTCATTGGGAGTATACCCTTGGAAAGGATTCTAGGATCCCACCCCCTTTCTCTTCCTCCCTGTTCCCTTGCAGTCACGCTCACCTGCCCTGCTGTGCTGGTCTGCTACCAGCTGAAAGCAACCATTGACTGAAGTCATGAGCCACAATAAACCTTTCTCTTTATAATTTGATTTTTCTCCTATACTTTCTCATGGTGACACAAAGGTGAATTTGTAGAATTTTTGCCATTGGGGATTTTATTTTAAGGTGTAAAATTGTCTGCGAGGGTACTTTAGATCATAGATGCTTAAATGACTGGCTATAAAGGGAATGGGAGTATAGAGAAAAATTTTAAAACCAAGGACTGTAGTCTTGGGACTGTCTTTTATCATCAAGTCAACTTGGGTAACTTATTTCCCCTTCTTAGACCTCTGATTCTTCATTCAAAAAGTGATGTGTTGCATTGGTAGTGAGTAATACCATTGCCAGCGCTGTGAGCCTATGTTTACAGATCAGGATAGCACAGCAAGGTCCTTCCTAGCTCTGAAATTCTATTCCATTGGTGTCGGGAAACAAAATAATACAATATAGTTCAGTTTCATTTCTTGCCTCTCATAATCTCTCTTCTCTCTCTCTCTCTCTCTCTCTCTCTCTCTCTCTCTCTCTCTCTTCTCCCTTTTTTCCTTTCTCCCCTCCAAGTCCACCTTCATTCAAATCCAACTAGACAAAGAACTTTGAGATGATTCATGCTCACACCTAGTCTGTTCTCTACAAGGGATACAACACACATGGAATCTAAAAGGTTTCCTTTTTCTGTCTGCTAAGGCAGTTATAGTTTTCTCACTAAGTATCTAGCAGTTAATTATTCCTAGTGACAGAGAAAAAGGTAAAATTTTCTTGTCATCTAATATAGGGTTTCAGGGTGTCCCACTGAGCGGGGTGACATTTTCTAGCAAGAATGAGAATCATCAACTCCAACATTTGGTCACCACCTGCTGGTAGCAGGTTGGGTTTCAGTACTCCCTACTTCGGCACCTGAAGAAAATACTTTGATTCCTGTCACTAAAGGCCTGAGTAGGTGGCCTGAATGGGGCCTACACCATCTCACACATCTGCAGTCAGAGCAAACCAATCTGAATCCTTCCCGCTGCTCTGGAATTTCCTGCTTGTATATTTACAGCATTTAGAAATGAATCCAATTGGATGTTAAAACTGGGCAAACTGATGGCACAAATACCCAAGTTTTTCTAAGCAGTAAAGAATAGAAAGTAGATTTCATTTCATTTGTACTGTTTCTACTTCAGCCAGGTGATGGTGGTACACACCCTTAATCCCAGTACCCAGGAGGCAGAGGCAAGAGGATCTCTGTGAGATCAAGGTCAGCCTGGTCTACCGAGCGAGTTCCAGGACATCGAGGGATACCCAGAAACCATGTCTTGGAAAAAGAAATCTCTCCATCAGAACTGTCCCTTTAGAAGCCCTCTGTTATACGGGGAAAGACTTTAGAAAGAGAACCCACTGGAGACACTTATCTTCTCCTTCAAGGGGTACCAAAAGCTGCCTCAGCCTTGGCAGGAATTTGGGTGTCAGCAAATATCACTGGGAAATTATTCAGTGCTTATTCTAGTTCAAAGGTGAAGAGCCACAGCTATCCCAGGAAAAGTTGTGCTCTTTGTCAGTGCTTCATGAAGGATTGAGACACTGCTTTAACAGCCAGTTGAATCTAAATAAGAAAAAACATGTACAAATGAGAAGACATACATAAACTTATCACAAAATGCCAGCAGTCAGAGTCAGTTTTTGCCATGTAGTTCATGTATTTCTTCCTTTAACATTTTCTTCCCAGTTCTGAAACAAATGTGATTTGAGCTGTTAGTCACCTAATGGCAGTTTAAAGGTATAGGTCCTGTCTCTTCCTGAGATCAAGAAAGCAATGAAAGGCTTCATGGGGGCCATGTGTGTGCCTGAGGAAGAGTCAGAAGGGATACCAACAAGAAAAAGTGATTAGACGCACAGAAAATGTCACCGCCGTTATGGTTTTGCAAAGGCTCAGGAATGGGCAGCAGTTCCCAAGTCAAGGATACCAGCAGCCTCCATAGAAAATAACAACTACCAGGGGACTTCCTGGAGATAAAATAAATGGCTATATTTGCATTTCCAGAGAGTTCTGGGCTGAGATTCAGAAAGAATTGCCTCTTGTTGAAAACTAGGCCTTCCTGAAGATTGGTCTCGGAATGTTCTCTTTATTGTTACAGACTATATTTCTGGATTATTCAAGTGTCCATGGCCCAGAAGTCACAGAAAAGAAGGTGGTTATTTTGGCTTCTGCCTTATTCTTTCAGTCATTGTTCACAATATACTAGCCATTGGGACAGTCTGGAGTTTAATTAGGACAGTGCAAATGCTAACATCCACACGTGGACCCCACACACTGTCACATCACTCCTTACTTGAGAGACATGTGCTCTACAAGTACCGTAGTGTTGGGATTAGAGAAATGTCTCAGTGGTGAAAAGCACTGGCTGTTCTTGCAGAGGAGTCTACTTGAGTTCCCAGCACCCACGTAGTGACTCACACCTGTAATTCCAGTTTCAGAAGACCCAATGCCCCCCTCTGACTACTTATAAGCACCAAGCACACATGTGGTGCACATACATATATGCAGGCAAAAATAAATGCAATAAATAAATCCAGAATTTAAAAAAAAAATAGAATAGCGCAATGCCATTCTTTATCAAATTGTATCACAGCTCCGAACTAGCCAATCTCCTCAGCCTAACCAGTTTCAGTAGTGAAATATTTTATTGTCGTCATCAGGGGATGGAGGACCTACTGTTTGGCCTGACTTCTTCCAGGATAAAAATCTTGCGTCTGGCTCAGCTTCTAAAGCGTTGTTTCTTAAGAGAGCAGAAGACGATATAACCCCGCCCACCCCCCACACTCCCCACACCCCCCACCCGGCCATCAGTCCCACCAAACAGTTCAAGCTCTGAAAGCTGGGCTCAAGTTAAGCAGCCGTGGGCTCCCTTTCCAAGTGAAGGACTTGTTCGTCTCAGGATGCATTAGGAAGTGCATAGCTGGATCTTTCCCTTGGAGGGCCTCAAGCAATCCAGAAACTGACTTTTTCTCACCCCGGTTTCTGCTTTTCTATGATGCCAAACCACACTGAGGGACCTGATCCAAGACTACCACATTTCATAAAGGAAAAGCAGATATGCCCATCCATCAAATACATAGAAAATGTTCCCGCCCTTGGGTAATATGGAATGTATAAATACTTGTTAGTAATCCATTTTCATCAGAAACTTACTTTTTCTATTACTACTATCTACGGAGACTCTACCCAGAACACTGAGCTAACTGCCTGACCTGGCAAGTCCCATTTTTTTCATCTTTAGCCAAAGCTAAGAGAATAGAGTTTTTCTAAGATATCAAAATTCAGTAGCTACCATTTAATAAATAAGAAATAACTGGCATATGGTCACACTTTTATCACTGTAACTATAGTAGAGTTCACCATTCACCCATGGGCCACACATTATATAAATGTATTCAGTGCATGTTATCTCACTAAATCATCACACTCATTTTATGAGGTGTTGTTATTAATTCCACATTGTAAATGAGGAAGCTGAGGCAAAGAGACTGAAATGACTTGTCTAAGGAGGCATACTCCATTTCCTTTCTGATTAGCGTGCTTAAGTTATACACATTAGTGAGTTTTAGATAATATTTCACGGCGTGCATGCAAATCCAGCCTCTCTATCTAAGCTACCCTTCCTCCATCTCCAGCAATCACTATTCTGCATTTGGGTCACCCTTTCTTTAAAAGCATGCACTTGTGAAAGAGAAGATGTTCTACTTGCGCTTCTGAATCTGGCTTAGTTCACCTAACATAATGTCCCACATTTCCATCCACTTTGTTGCAAAATAAAAGGTTTTCATTTTCTTGGTGGCAGAATAATACTCCATTGTGCACATTCACCACATTTTCTTTACCCATTCATGTGTTGATCGGCACCTAGGTTGATTCTGTATTTTAGCTATTGTGATAATGCCACAATGAACATCTGGATGTAGATATCCCTTTGGTATGCTGATTTCATTTCTTTTGCATATATGTCCAGAAGTGAGACAGCTGGATATTATGAATTCCATTTCTCTTTTGTTGAGGAGCCTCCATATTGTTCTCCATAATGGCTATGCTAATTTTCATCCCT